TTCAGTCGGCAATCTTGAAAACATTATAAAATCTCTTGGGAGAGAGTTCGCCTTTCATTGAGGTGAAGGCATGATGAAAATAAAGTTGCTGTTTTCAATAACGTCTAATATTACTAGTCTTGATATCCAACGCAACCGTGGATTCGTGAGAAAAACCAGGAGTTATTGCCAACAGGTTGCGTTACACTTCGCCTAATCATCGAATTCTTTGGGCTGATAAAACGCAATATAGGTTTCTTTTTATTATCTTTGGACCGAAAGTGTTGCTTGTTACAGTGTAGTTAGGGTTCACCAAAAAGTCATAAGATCGAGAGTTACTAAGTTGTCCTATTGACAGAAAACAACGAAGTAGCAATTAAATAATAAGAGGAGTTAAATTCGTGTAAGGCAAAAATGCTCATCTGGCCGAATCGAGATGAACTCGTGAAAATGTTTAGCTGACGAACAGTCGAGAATCAGCAGCCTAGCGGTGAATCCTAGGCTCCACCGGTTGTTTGAGAAGGGAAGAGAGCGATAAACCCTTTGGACATCTAGACGGTCCATAAAAGCGCAAAGGGATCAGGAGGAGGTTTAAGACGATTTCGGCTATCGAACAAGGCCGGACCTTCGTGGCGGAGCGATCATTTATTGGTGGGATCAGATCTGGATGGCTAAAACAAATAGATTGAAAAACAAGGTTCTGACAAACGCGATTGAGATTTACACGAAGTAAAAGCTGCAAAAGTGATAATTGCCCATTTTTGGGGATGTAACGACAAATGACGAACAATATGAGCTATGGCATACTGGGTTTAATTAAAATGACTCACCCGAACAAGATGCTTTCTTCGCATTCTAATCCGAGACATATTGAGCATCCGAGTAAAATGGTTAAAAGTCTGAGGAAGTTGTGCCGGGCAAAGTTTTGAAGTCCTTATCAAGCAAAGGAGCGAGCCGAGGTTCTCAAATTCTAAATAGACAAAACACACTACTTAAATAACATGGTACTCTAATACATTAGTTCATGCAAATTTAGAGTAGAAATATAGAAAAAAAATTAAAATGATTCAGACGCGGGTTTAATTATTAGCCGCTACCTGAGAAAACTTATTAACCTGAACTTTTTGAAAAAATACGTCTAAGATAAAATAAGATATTTCCAAATCCAAGACGATTAATCTTTGTCAGTCGAGGAAGAGACGAGAATGGCAATAAAAGGGCCTCTGTCGTGCGTGACACCGGTCTGTTAGCCTTCGGGCTGCGCTGGCCTCGCCACCCGCGGGCCGGCCGGATCGGCGGAATGGCCATCTCGACATTTCGGGGGCATAATCTTTGAACCGGGGCAGCCTGGCTCCGAAAGATGCTGGCGCCCCTCACGTTTGAAACAAATAATTGCGCGTTATTTGCACTTTGCGAGTTTGACTCCTTCAATGAAAAGCGTCATTAAATGTCTGGCAATCTGGCTTACTGCAGGGAGGAAACATTTAATATGCTCGATTAATTGTAAGCAATTTTGACACTTATAAAAAATTGGGTATCAACGAAAATAACAGGCGATTAGCATTGGTATTTGTGATTGGGTGATTTTTTAGTTAACAATGCCCTCAAAAGTCTGTCCTTTTAATTCGAGCTTAAATTAAACTTGCCACGTTTTCCGCATACAAACACCAAATGCACTCCGCGTTTGTAGGAAGAGTGAAGAGTAAGCAATGAAACGCGGCTAATGAGTTGAGCATCGAAGAGTGGCTGAGCATAACCGTCCTCTGCGGCCATAGTCAGGCAGACGCTGGCTCTAGCGATGATCTTGGATAAAAGGGTCGCTGACGTCCTGTTTGGAGCAAGGGTCAGATGGAGCAGTTTGCGCAGTCTGCGCCAATGAACCTGGCTGGAGGCGAGGGACCAACTTTTACAGGATCGGATGCGGGTTGAGGCCAGCTTTGGCACAATCTCCGAGGTCTGGTCGCAAGAAAAATGGGAGGCGCA